TTTATCAGTAGACTGTAAAACAAAGTCCACCTTACAGAAAATAAATATGATATATGCTGCTCTAATCTTTTCTTAATATTAATTATTTCAATTTAATTTTATGAATTTATAATCTTTATACATTTGGTAAAGTTTATCACAGGGCTCCGATTCGTACTTTTTTAAAAGTATTGTACTTTTTTATCGACCTTCGTACTTCCGAAATTGAATTTGTACTTTTTTGAAAGTATGTACTTTTTTATCAACATTTTTGAAAAAACGAAGAAATCTGGCTTAAGGACCTCCAAAATTCTCAAAATTTTCGCCTGCGGCGCAAAAAATGGAAGAAATCTGGCTTAAGGACTTCCAAAATTCTCAAAATTTTCGCCTGCGGCGCAAAAAATGGAAGAAATCTGGCTTAAGGACTTCCAAAATTCTCAAAATTTTCGCCTGCGGCGCAAAAAATGGAAGAAATCTGGCTTAAGGACTTCCAAAATTCTCAAAATTTTCGCCTGCGGCGCAAAAAATGGAAAAAATCTGGCTTAAGGACTTCCAAAATTCTCAAAATTTTCGCCTGCGGCGCAAAAAATGGAAGAAATCTGGCTTAAGGACTTCCAAAATTCTCAAAATTTTCGCCTGCGGCGCTGAAAAAGAAGAAATCTGGCTTCTTAGGCTCCAAATTTCAAAAAATTTTCGCCTGCGGCGCAGCTCAATGGCAAATATTCAATGGACGAAAGAAAGAAACTCGCTTGAGGTTAAGACTGTCAGAGCTTTGCTTCATGTGACAGCAAATTTTGACATGTCAACAAAATGCTCAGTTGAAACAAGAAATTATTAGAAAAGATTAATTTAAGAGAGAAATATAAAAGATCTGATCACGAATAAATATTTTCAAATTTAATTTTGAGTGTACTTTTTATTTGCAAATTTTCTCCCTATGTACTTTTTTTACAAGATTTTGATACTTTTGAGTGGCATTTTGTCGATCGGAGCCCTGGTTTATCACATTTCCGTGTTCTTTATTTTTGGGAGCTTGAACATTCGTTCATAGCTATTTTTTAAATGTATTTTTAATTCTGCAATATTTTTTCAATTCATTTCATGGGACGCATAAATAATTTTTGGGACGCATAGATTGCATAAATTATTTTTGGGACGCATAAATTTTTAAGGGACGCATAAATTCTCTTGGGACGCATAAATCTTCATGATACGCATGAACTTGACAAGAGCGGTTGGATTTTCCAAACAAAAAGAAGAGATACACAGAAATCTTAAAGGGGATAGAGTTGGTTTTATGTGATTTTGATTTCTTTGGAGTTTCAAGTTCTGAGTCGAGTCTCGAGTCCCATACGACGCTCCCAGTCCGGTCTTTACGTAGACTACCAAGTTTTATGTAATGGTTAACTGAAATAAGACATGAACTAATTATTTGCTTTAAAATGTTTAACGTTATTCTTAACCGAATGTTAAATATTAATAAATTTATTTCTATTTTATTAATAAATTATTAAAATATATATGGCACACGTGTTCATTTTTTTCAATTTCCTGTTTTATTTTTGGAAGTTGGATATTTCAACTAATGGGTAGTGGAGAGGAAAAAAGTGAGATCGGTTGTCATGGATTGGTTAGTCACAATTTTAGCTTAATTCTCGTCTTGGACATATTTTCTTGGATTTATTTTCTGCCTTGGTATTGAGAGCCACAATGGGGAAAAGAAGACTATTTTAAATTAGCTTTTTATAGAATAAAGATATGCTCAAACTTTAATTTTATTAATTGTTGTTCATTTATGAAATAAAATATTTATTTTCAATTTTTTTTAAATTTATTTTATTATTTTTTCCTTTTCCTTCCAAGTGCCAAAATGCATACCATAACAGAGAAGTAAAAATAGGCGCCACTACTTAAGAAAAAATGTAAGGGAAGGAAGGAAAAATGCGCATTCTCTCACATCAACCGGACATTTACCGTATACTTCATTCCTTGTTAATTCTTTTCTTCAATTCTAATTTTTTACTCGGCATAAAAAATTGAGATGAATATTTAATTAGCTTGAGATACGTAAGGTTTTAAATTAATCTTAGTTTTATCTACTTTTGAAAAATATGAAATTTAATAATAATGTTTTAATTAGAGAGGATGCACTTGTTTGACAAATGCGAAACTGACGCATCTCGGTGCCTATCATTTTTTGGAAGCCTAATACGCTTAGGCTAAATCTAATCGTTACTTTTCCGTTATACGACACACTGATTGCCAGACGCAATTTTATCGACTATAACTTTTTTGTGCTTAATCCAATACAAATAAATTTATAGCATTCGAAAGCCCTCGATAAGTTATTTCAAGGGTATTTTAAGGGTAGGTCTATTGACTACAAATCACTAGCTAATTTCAAATTATATAATACTTTAATTTAAATTAAATAATAGAGTCAGGAATAAATTACCATAGACTTAAAACATAATTTAGTTGTTAATTTTTTGGAAGTTGGATATACCAACTAAATAAAGTTGTTAGTTGACTAAATCTACTAATTAACTTCAAAAGTAAGTTGATAATAAGATAAAGCACTAACTAACAAACTGAGCTTTAGCAGAATAGTAACAATAGAGATAGAATGCAGTTGTTTACTAATATTTTATTTAATATATTTTACATATTTTAATTACGATTAAATAATTGTATAAGAATAAGAACTACTGTTATGTGGAAGAAAGCAGTTTGTAATTTTTTGGATAATTCGTCATTGTTTAGTTTTGATTGTTGAATATATTCAACATCCAAAAAATTAAGCATCGACACGCTGGCTACTATCAAGACGATTCTTTGGGTTACATGGACATATAAATAAATACCAAATAATCTAATAATTGATATGTAAACCACAATTTATGTAAGGCAAGACGTATCGATAAAAATTTTAGTTTCCTCAACGCCCTTGACTTAATAACTAACTTCTCACATATGGATGCCCAAATCCTGGACTTAACCTAAGAACCAAACAATTCTTCTGTTAAATTTCGAACCGTGAAAATTTACCAACTATCAATAAAAATTTCACAAAATTTTTGCTTAAGTCGCGTGCCGAGTTTTGCGGCACGCGCCTCGCGGGGAGTCTACGGTCGCTGGGTTCTGGGCTCGTAACTTAATCCTATTCCTTTTTACTGATTCTCAGCCTTGAATGCCGACCTACCCTCCGTAGCAACACCAAAACTGTTATACAACCGAAAATTGAATTGTTTATAATTTTGTTCAAAATGACCGGATCGAGCTGATTTTTGTGTCATTCAACTCAGCTCGTCGAGCTCTTTCGAATGAGCTATTATTCAGAAAATCGATTTTTTCACCCCAAAAAAGTGATTACTCCCCCTTTTGGTTTTTCAAATTTCAGGGACCTATATCTCGGTCCACATGCATTTCCGCACCATGAGAGTGCTACCGTTCGACTCAGCTCGCCGAGACGAATCGATTGACATATCATTTGTCCCGTTTCGGTGCAGGCCCTCGACTAAACTACAGCCGATTCAATAAAAGATAAAGGGATTTGAGGTAATAAAGGCGGATTGAGGAATATTTCCCATTTTAGTTGGAATATTCAACTTCCAAAAAATGAACAGAGAAGGATTACTACGACGCGACACAGATTAACATAATATTTTTTTACATTTAACGAATTAAATATAAATTATAATACATTTTACAAAATTCACCCCTTTATTGCAATCACTTTTTTAATTATTTAGGAACGAAATACGGTAGTATACCATAATTTAGATGAGTAGACTGCCCAGTCCCACAAGATTTTATGGGAATACAGGGAAACAATTTCAAATAGAAGTAGTCTCTCGGTCCGAAACTTAGTCTCGGGTTTGATTCCCGGTCTTAGTCTCGACTCTCGTGTTTTTTAACTCCGATCATCACAATTAACTATGACATAAATGTCCTACTATTATTCACTCGTCCTGAGCCCTTTCTCTTTTAACTACGGCCTAATACACAGTGCCATCCAACCACTTATCAGTTATTCGCTTTTATGACCCTCCCCTTCGGCATTCCGTCTGCCGCTTTTTGATGTTAAAGTCAGTACTAGTGTTCGGCACGGTTTGGTACTCCAGCGGTACTCTCAAAATTTTTCTTCGGTACTTTTCGGTATCGGGAGTTTTCGTTACTCCCGATACCGGTACCGAAAAGTTTTATTTGCCGAACTCTTGTCAGGACCTATCCCTAGTGTCTCTTTAATTAATTTAATTTTTTTAGATTTTTTAAAAAATTTTTCTAAATTTTTAATAAATTTATTCTTAAAATCCTCCAAAAATTCTTTAAAAATTAAATAATAACAAAATGTTTGGACATCAATTAATTCTAAACAAATTATCTTTAATAATTTCAACGACATTTATGGCTGTTATTATTGCTAGTGTAGATTTTTAATTATAGTAATGAGGCATTTTTAGATAAATTGGCATTTTTAAATAAAGTGGGGAAGGGCCCGTTCATGTAATGCTACGCTTACATAAAAATCGCGCGCGTCTTGCGACAGAAAAGATAATGTAAAAAGATGAGAGAAAAAGACGCCGGCGTCTTGCCGCTTTTTTTGAGTGCTTACATAAACTGCGTCTTCCGCCGGCGTCTTGTCGCTGGCGTCTTGACGCTTTTTTTGCGTGCTTACATAACTCGCGTCTTCCGCCGGCGTCTTGTCGCCGGCGTCTTGCTGCTTTTTATGAGTGCTTACATAAACTGCGTCTTCCGCCGGCGTCTTGTCGCCGGCGACACTTTTTTTAATTCAAACATGTTTGAATTTTTGGCGACAACTTTTAGCGTCTTGATCATTTCTCGGCCAATTCTGATCTAATTTTCAAAATTTAAAAAGATTCTGAAAGTTCTTTTTATTCTCTATCGATCAATATAAATTTTATATTCTAAACTGACTTTTTATAGGTTAAAAATAATTTTTAAAAAGTGATATTTTTCTGAAAAAATTTCAATTTATTTCATTTTTTTTCGAAATTTTCATGACAAATATTCAAGCAACAACTGACTTATTTATTGAAATTGTGCGAGAAAATGAATTTCTATGGAGAAAGGGTCATGAAGATCATAAGGACAAAAGCAAATGTGAAAGCACTTGGGCAAGAATTGCAAACGAAACTGGTCTTGAAGGTTTATTATTTATCCATTAAAAGTAACAATGAAAAATTCAGATAGCAAAGCTGCGAAACAAAAGTGGAAAAATTTGAGTGATTATTATGGAAGAGTTAAGAAGCCTAAGCCTTCGGGCTCGGATGCTAAAGAAATGAAATGGTCATATTTAAAAGCAATGTCATTTTTGGAAGACGAAAGACAAAGTTGTTCAAGGTTATTTTTTGAATAATTTATCTAAAAAATAATTTTAAGTAGGATCGATTCGACTGGACGTTCATCAGCTTCAATAGATAATTTATTAAAAATGAATGTATCGATTAATTCGAGTGATGAAGAAAATGATACTCAAAGTTTGACTTCGCCACGTTTGACTGTTAAGCGTCGCCGTTTATGTGAGAACAATAAAAACGATGAAGTTGATGATTGTATTATTGAGTTAACAAAGCAGATCAAGGATTCTCTTTCTGAATTGACACCTTGTAAGCAATTTGGGGCTTATGTTGGATCCGAAATCAAAAGCCTTGCCAGCCCAGAAAGAAATGAAGCGAAATCAAATATTATGAATATCTTAATGCAACTTAAGTCTCGTAAAAGGGTGATCACTTTTGATGAATTTGGAAATTCGTTGCAAAATCTTTAACTTTTTCTGGTTTTTGTTCTGTTTAATTTTGTTTGTTTAGTTGATTTTTAAAAAGATTTTTGAATTGAAAATAAATCATATATTCTATGTCCTGTCATTTTAAAAGTTTTTTTACACTTGTTATCTTTTTATTTTGACTTAACGATTTTTAAATTCAGATTGTCGAAATGCTTCCACAATTAGCAAAAACATCAGTTTTGCTTTTAAAATTAATAAGATTGAAACGATTAATTAAAAAGAAGGCAAAACGTTTATGGGTTCATCCCATGCTTGCAGTGCAAAAAAATGAGGGTGAATTTGCAACTCTTTTTCCAAAATTAAGAGATGATGAGGAGAAATTTTTTTGTTACATGCGAATGACAAGTAGAGAATTTGATCTTTTATTGACAAAAATCAAACCTAGGTTTATTTTTAAAACTTTCTTTGAGATTTTTATTTACAGCCTTGAGCTTAAAAGTCACAGAGCAATAACTCCTGAGGAACAACTAATGATAACTTTACGTTTTTTTGCTACTGGAATGCAGTTTCGTGGACTTGAGTATACATTTCGTAGGGGCAATTCGACTATTTCTATAATTGTGAGTCGTGTTTCTAAAGCTATTTGGTCCCTTCATGAGAAATATTTAACAATGCCATCAACCACCGAAGAATGGATTAATATTACTAATGGTTTTGAACAACGCTGGAATATGCCATTTTGTATCGGTTTTTAAAGATAAATATAAACAGATCTAAAAATTTATCTAAGGTGCATTGGATGGTAAACTAGTACGTGTGAGAAAACCAAGCAAATCCGGGAGCCTATATCATGACTACAAACACCATTTTTCTTTAAATCTTCTAGCACTTTGTGATCATAGGTTATACTTATATTTTACCACAATAAATCATACATAATAGATATCGTCTAACATTTGTTGATATTGGAGAATATGGCTATAAAGGAGATGCTAATGTATTCGCCACATCAACACTCAAACAAATGTTGACTAATAATTCTTTAAAAATTCCTGAATCAACGTCTCTACCAGGAATGCCTGATTCTAAAATCCATTACTTTATTGTGGCAGATGCCGCCTTTCCGTTGTCTTTAAATATTATGAAACCATTTTCTGGACGGATACTTTCACGTGAGCAAAGGATATATAATTACAGGTTTTATTATTGTCCATGGCTTTTGATTTTAGCCTTTTCTAGATTGTCAAGGGCCAGACGAATTATTGAAAATGTTTTTGGAATTATGTGTGCTAAGTGGAGGCTTCTTCTAAAACCTATTGAAACGTCTATAGAGTCAGCTAATTGGATTGTCCGTGCCATTGTTGTTCTACATAATTTTTTAATTGATGAATCAACAACACACAATCCAACATTATTAGCTGATCACGGAGATCAGGAGAATGGTGAATGGAGACAAATGATTTCATCTATTCCACTACCTAGCCAACAAATTATGCCACACGCAACAAATTGGTCTTCAGAGGCAAAATCGATGAGGCAACTTTTATTAGAATATTTTAACAGTGAAGTTGGATCGGTATCATGGCAGGATAGAATGATTTAATTTTATTTGTTTAATTTAATTTCAATAAAATACTTTTAAAAATTAGTCGCATTCAGTGCTTACATAAAAATCGCGCGCGTCTTGAGACAGACGCTCGGCGACAAGACGCGCGCGACAGTCGCTGCTGTGTGCTTACATAAAACTAGCGTTTTGTCGCTTTGCGACAGTCGCTTTTGCGGAAGTCGCCGATTTTATTTAAGCACGAAGCAGCGACTGTCGCGCGCGTCTTGTCGCCGAGCGTCTGTCTCAAGACGCGCGCGATTTTTATGTAAGCGTAGCATAACGCAGGCACCAAGGCTTCAAACAGAAAATACAATAGACTTAATTTACATGATTAGTTGGTATCACCAACTTCCAAAAAATAATCAGCGAACCCAACATCTACAATCACTATTTATTTTTAGTCTAATATTCATGTTTAATTGAAATATTTGCTATATTGTAAAAGTAATATTTAATGTAACTAGAGACTCCCCAGAGACCAAGTTGCAAATTTCGAACCGATTAATTAATAAACAAACATGGTTAAGAAGCTTTATGCTTAATGAAAACTTATTAGTAGGGATCGGATTTTTAGGTCGTAAAAACCTTAAAATAGGTACCTAAATAGGTTGTATAAAATGCTAAAATAGGTGACAAAAATAGGCAAATAGGTTGTAAAAATAAAGATTCCCTCAAAATATTCTGGTACTACAGTGAACGTATAGAAGTACTGGTACGCACACAATGTCTCTAATTTCAAAACATGGTAACTCACTACATAGATTCATTTTGACCCATGTGTATTTTTTGAGAAATAAAAATGAAATGGGAAGAAAAATAAAATGGGGGGAGATAACACAAGAGTACCGGAATAAAATTCTGGAATAAAACTCCAGTTTTGAAAAATTTTTGATTTTTGAGGATAATATTTTTCAAAAAATTGGAGAAAAATATTTGAGCCGATAAAAAAATTGACAAAATTTTTGAAAAATTTTAAATTTCTTTCAAAAATTCTCGAAAATTTAAATTAAAAAGTGAAATTTTATGAAAAAATCCCAAAATAGGTGACAAAAAATTGGAAAAATCACAAAAACAACCAAAATAGGTTACAACCTATTTTAGGTTGCAAAACGCCAATATAGGTTCAAATAGGTCATAATAACTCCCCGTAAACAAAAGATTTTCAAGAAATAACAACGGATTTGTCTCAATTCATCAGGACTATTTCGCAGAAAAAATAGGTTATAACCTAAAAATCCGATCCCTACTTATTAGCTATCTTTGGCCTTTTTCCCTATTTGTAACATTCTTAAATTTGTTGGCATTTTGTAAGAAGAATGGGAGGAAAACGAAGGATTTCTAGCTTATTGACCTTCCAAAATTTAGGCCTTTATAAGCCACAGGTTTAACAGTTCTGCTCATTCTTTAATCAATCTAATAATTTTCGCGTATTTACTTAATATTAATTATAAAATTTACTTTAACTAATAAACAAACACAATTAAGAAACAAATAGAAAACTTATTTGGGATATTTATTATTTGGATGGATGAAGGTTAATCAGTCAACTTTACCTAGCTTAAAAAACCTTTTCTTCAGATGTTACCTTCAAATGATTACTATCACCTACCTTTATTAGCCTCAGGCTTAACAGTTCATGTCACTCTTTATTCAATCGGCTAATAATTTTCGTTTATTTACTTAATATTAATTATTAAATTAACTTTAAGGATAATTCTTCGGTTTGTATATTCTCTTCTTTGTGCCCCCCTTTTTTCCTTTACCATTTTTTCATTTTTCCTCCCCTATTTTTCATGAGTCAAGTATTAAAAAGGGCAAGTATTAAAAAATTAATGCTCAAAAATGTCGTATGTATATAGGGTAATAAAAGGTTTTGGGGTGAAAAATTCAATTTTGCGAATGATAGCTCATTCGAAAGAGATCGTCGAACTGAGTCGAATGACACCAAAATCAACGTAGTCGAACATGTTTGTACGAGTTACGATACAAAAAATTGTGCGGTTTTTCAATTTTTAGGACCTGTATCTCGGTCAAATCAAATCAAATTTCGTTGATTTTGGTGCTCGACGAGCTTTTTCGAATGAGCGACATTTTGAGCATTAATTTAGGGGGGTGTGGCATAACGGAAAAGTACCCTCGTAATCCTTTTTAATACTTGACTCATGAAAAATAGGGGAGGAAAAATGAAAAAATGGTAAAGGAAAAAAGGGGGGCACAAAGAGGAGGGTATACAAACCGAAGAATTACCACTTTAAGTAATAGACAAACACAATTAATAAATAAATAAAAAATTTACTTATTGGCATATTTATTTTTTGGATGAATGAGGATTAACCAGTCAAATTTAGCTACTTAAAAAATCATTTTTCAGTTATTCTGTCAGTCAAACGCAACAATATCGCCTCTATTCGACTAAATTAGCGTCCAAGAAAATAATCGTCAATTAGTCTCAGAATGGGAAGAATACTTGAAACAACTAAATAAACAACATAATAACCAACAAAAATTCAATGGGAATGGTTACTATGTTTTGATGGAAAACCTTTCAAACAGGATCCACTCAAATTCAAAGGTGATTTTGGGTGAGAGGAGATAGGCTAAAGACTGCTACCTGAGATGTAATGGGCTAAGAAAAAATTGGGTTTCGACTCAGTTAGTGCCGGAGACTTTGGAGGATTAATAGGATAGGGAGTAAAATCTTGCAGATTTTAAGGCGAGTAACATGTAGGCTGCAATAGTTACGAGATATCCTTGCTAATTAACCCGGTATCAATTGAATGTTAAGATCAAAGAAGATACAAAGAATCCGAGAGAATTTCGAGGTTTTCTTTCTTTCCATTGCGACTTTTTGGTATATTTTTAAATTTTATGTTTTTGGATTTATTTTGATTTCTGATTTTCGAAGATTTTTGTTTCGTGGCAAAACTGATGCATGTAAATTAGCCAGCTAAATGGCTTCCAAAAATAGTACTTTCAACCAATTTCAAAAAAAAGTCTTGGTAAATAAAACAACTTAATAAATCCATTTAAACATCTTTTAATATAATTAAAAATATGATGTAAATAAATTATTTTTAGGCCATTTTGGAGAAGAGAGGAGGTGAAATTCGACGTGACTTTGAACATGGTTGGGAGCAATGTGAAGTAAGAGATTTTTAAAATAATCTTTAAAGAGAGTGAATTTAAGCAAAAATCTACTTAATGTTATTTACACATTTTATTTTTTAATTTTAAATTCTGTAAGGAGAGGTCAGTAGCTGGAATTTTTTCCGGGTACATTATTTCTTGGAAGCTTGAACACCGTTCATAGCTATTTATGGTGTTACACAGATCACTTCCATCAAAATTGTTTTTATATTTGAGAAGATTTGAGAAGATTAAGGTGATGAGGGTTTAATAGGAGTATATTGAGTACATATTAGGGGATTTGGAATGA